CTCTCCCCCTCATGTAGGGAGCTTACTCTCCTTCACCATCACATTGTAACTTCATTTGTATGGAATAAAAGACGTTGTCGAGCTCAAGGACCTCCCTCTCTTTCTTTCTCTTCCTCTCTTTCTTGACCTGCCAGAATCCAACTCTATTCCTAGGCATGGTCAAAAGAACATATTTGAATTTAATATCCTAATTGTGTGTTGAACATGTCGTCAATGAGACAAAAAGCCCTCTAAATTAGAGACAATCAAACTACAGAGAAACAAACAATAAAAAAAATGAAGAAGAAATGGAGACATAAAGTGACAAAATATAAAACATACGTGACAAGTCGAAAGCCACAAAGTAACAAAAGGAAAAAAAGTAAAGAACTCATCTCATATCCCAAAAATTAGAAGGCCACCACGTAATAACAAGAGAAAGATAAGCAGCCCCCTCCCCCCTCACTCCACTTCATTTTCTTATTGTTCATTAAGGAAGATAGAGAAAAAATAAATGAAGGAAAATAAGAATGTAGATAAAATAAATACAAATTAAAAAAAAAGATAAAATACACTCTTCTCATTTAAGTCTCTTCTATGGGATGAGCATTCCAAAAAATAAGATCACTCACACTCTCTCTAAGCCTGCCCTTTAGGGCGAGCCAACAAATTCTTTTTAAACCTCTCCTCTAAGAGAGCATTCCAAAAGAAAAATAAAAGCAAGTCTTCAAACCACTCCTCCGGGGTGAGCATTAGGACTCTCCCTAAGCTTCTCCTTCAGGACGTGCACTCCAAACTCTCTCTCATTGAAATCTCTCCTCCATGACGAATATTTCAAAGATCTATCTTTTGACTTGAGTCTCTCATCCAAAATGAGCAAACAAAGCTTCTTCTTTCCTTCAAGAAATCTCTGAAAACTCACTCCCAAAACTCAACTCAGAAGAAGCTATGAAGGCGGTTCCCTATCCCGAAATGACAAGATCTGTAAGAGGAACGACACAAATCACCCCACTATGGAGTCTCGATGCTTACCTCCACGAACGTAACGATAATTTCTCTGAAGTCCTGGTGTAAGGTGAGGCATGTCGGAGTCAATTTTCTGACAATGGTAAGAAAGATGGGTTGGGAACGATCTTGACTATTGAGAATGTTTCCATCGATAAATCTACGAAGCAAACTTGATTATACTTTCCCAAAAATCTGAACACTAACTAATGATTATTAAAAAAATGGATTTATTCATTAAAGAGCTGGTTATAAGTTTATACAGTTGCCTAAGAAATGATGTTTTGTGCACTAATAAGTTTTTCATTCTTATCATAACTTCATCTCCAAGAAGTGAAAAACTCAGAGGCTTTATGTATGACTTACAAAATAAGTCCCAAAAAATCTGAACACTAACTAATGATTATTAAAAAAAATGATTTATTCATTAAATAACTGGTTATAAGTTTATATAGTTGCCTAAGAAATGATGTTTTGCGCACTAATAAGTTGTTCATTCTCATCGTAACTTTCCCTCCAAGAAGTGAAATACTCGGAGGCTTCATGTATGACTTACAAAATAAGTCTCCTTGTCAAATCCAGGGAGCCTCCCACATTGAGGACATCGTCGTCAGAGGAGTCGCCAACACCTACGAGCGCTGCACTCATCAAATCGGTCAGCCATCCCATTCGATCGACCACCTAAAGAACCGGCCGACATCCCACCTGGTCAACCACCTAAAGAACCGGTCGATCACCCGAAGGAAGAATTGGCCGGCCACTTGGGTTGACTACCCCTTGCCGGCTGACCTCAGTGAAGGAAGACGTCCGACCACCTCAGTCGACCAACCCCAGACGATCGATCACTTGGACAACCACTCGACGATGGGCATGGACCAAATTCCCTCTCCCCACCTTCCTTTAAACAAGTTCATACATGTAATTTCCTCTCCTCCCTCTCTTCTCTCTATAAATAATTTATCCTTGAATGTAAAAGAGGTCCCTTTAGGTTCTCTATCTCTTTATCATGTAGGAAGCTTGTTCCATTTCACCCTCACATTGTAACCTCATTTGTGTGGAATAAAAGAGACTACTGAACTCGGGGACCACCACTATTTGCCCCCCGATGGGCAACCCTCTCTTTCCTTCTATCTCTCTCTCTTTCTCCATGCCTTGGAATTCTTTGGGCACTATCCAAATGACAGATGTGAATTTAACACTTTTTTTTTTCTTTTTCTAAAATAATGTTCTATTGAAATAAAGAGAAAAAAAAAACTAAAACTCGAAAAGATGTAAACCAAAATAGTAACAATCAAAGAGAGTTAACAAAAAATATACTAACTTTCCTTTTTTCTACTTCTTAAAGACAGTGATAAGAAAATCAACAATTTTTTTATATAACTAGAATGACCATCACAAATTATTGAAACTAATTTCGTAAGGTCAATCGAATTGAAGCTATATTTTTAGTTATATAAAGAAATTGATGCATACATATTAAACAAGCTCATAAGAGTAGAAATGCATTTTGTATTATCTTAGAGATGATCAAATTAAGGTATTTCACCATGTAAGTTAATGTTTATATGAATATGGCATTCCTCTCAATCTGAAATACTATTACGAAGTTTGAATTGTTGTTTTAGTTTATCTCAAGAGAGGTGGAAAAGGCTAGAGTGATTAAAAGTTGGTGTAGGTGGATGGTTGTCAAATGATGGCAAAAATTGTCACCAATTGACATAAGAAAATAATGGTTGGCCTAATGCAAATCTTGGCATTATATGTCAACTAGCAAAGATGAATATTAGTGTCGATTGATGACGGTGATGATGGTTATGCTTTGAATATAGATATTAGTTGACCAAAGGGGGCCGATAATCATTAATCGGTATTGTTAACGTTGTTTGATGGGCGACATTATGAGATTCTTCTTATTCAAGTATGGTATTCACTCAAGGTCACTTTTTAAGTATTGAATGAAGATATGCTCGTAAATTTTTTGTGGTAATACTTTGATTTTTTTATCAGAATTTAAAACACTATATTGAATGACCCATTATAACCATTATTTAATATTTAGAATTTTCTAGATAAACTCTCAACAAGTAAAAATTCTATATCTACGACTCCATATTTTAGAAAATGTCTTTAATTTTTTATTTTGTATATGAACTAAAAAAAATTCTAGTAAAGTATCAAAATTTTAAAATAACTTCTTCCAAACTTTGTATTTACTATTAAAATAATGAAAAAAAATGAAATTTTTACATATGTTGAAGTTAGATTTGTTTTATAGACTATGCCCAAGGCATAGAGCGTAGAACCATGAGAGAGAACATGAGAGAGAAAGAGGAGAAAGAGGAAGAGAGAGAGAGAGAGAGAGAGAGATTTGCATCGTAGGAGCTAAAATGGGTGTTTCCATACTCTTTGGCCCCTTATATTCCACTAAAAAGGGTGGTTACAAGAGAGGGGAAGGGCAAAAAGTTCTATCTACATAGGGGGTAGAGAGAAGAGAGCTGGAGGACCATTGAATACATGCTATGAGTCCTCTATTTATAGTAGATAAAAAAGAACATACAATATTATATTTTTACAAATGCTTTTAAAGATTGTAGTACATGTTATTTTAGACTTTCCTTTGCTCACATCTGTCGTTTTGGAACTTTCTGGTTGGTAGGGCTCGTCAGTTTTGATGTTTGGCTAGTTGGTAGAAGGGGGAGGGCGGCTTGATTTTAGTGGCTGACTGGTCCAATGAAACTAGCCGGTTGATAAGGGGTGGTCATTCATTTGGTTTTGGATGGTCAACCAAGGCTAGAGGGAGAGCGGTGTGTTAGCGTGACTCCAACAGTGGTTCATTTGGCTCGATGAGGACTCTGATATGTTATGTCATACAACATATACAACTGATATGTCATCAATAATTTTTATCATCAGTCACACATCTCAATGCATTTGAGCTAGAAACATTCCAAACTTAAATTCACAGTCATCCAAGCCTTGATTTAAGCATGTTTAAGTTAAGTTGAGCATCTTGACAATATGAGCCTATTGACCCCGAAGGTGATTCGATTCGAGTCCAAATAAACCTAGATCAAACACTTAAAGTGTAGTCAAAGACTTTAATGCATCAATTGAAATGTCAAATGATCTTAAAACTTGGCTTGCTTAATAGTTAAATTGAGCAGGTCGAGAAAGAGGATTCCAACCAACCCAATATCATCTGATTTTGAGATCTTCAAGGAACTTAAATGTTGAAAAAACTATATGTTATTAAGGAAGTCAATGTAGACAATTTGATGAAATATTTTGAGAAGTTGGTCAAATTTACTAAATTTCCCTTCTAAAAAGTTATAAATAGGGCTTATTCATCACTTAAAAAAGGGAGAAGAAGAGAAGAAGACGAGCTGACAACTAAAGCTAACTCTTAAAGTTTTGACTATAATCATTGGTCACCTGAGATTTTGCCAACCCCCAGAGTTGGCCGCCAACCACCAACCAACATCGACTATCACCAGAAATTACTACAAACAAATACGACCACTGTAGCCACTAAATACAACTTTTGTAGCAAACTAATATTGATGTATTTATCGACTATAGTTCTTGCAGCCCAATTATGAATGATGTGACCACACAACAATGATAAAATCATGATTGTGAGTTTTTGGAATCATCTCCTCTAATTCATGAGAAGAATAGATATTTGTACTACTGATTGCATAATAGATCATTTTAACTATTTTAGACTCCATTTTTTTTTTCATTTTTCTTGTGTTTTCTACTATTACATTTCTTTTATCTTTATGTGTGATAGATCTTCGTGCAATGCAAAAACACTTATCATCCTAAATTTTGTAGCACACACCAATAATACAATAATAATACATATAATACAATAATAATACACAATTTCTATTTATTTTTCTTTCAACTAAAAATTGATACTTACATTTATCACATTGTCATAACTTTATGTATAAAGGGTAAATTTATCACATTGTCATAACTTTATGTATAAAGGGTAATCTCTCCCAATCTCTCTCTCTCGCGCTATATATTTGCAGTACTCTTTGTCATGATCAGCTCCTCCCTTCCGTTTCAAATTCATCCACGAAGCCGATGAAGTCTTGTGGCTCCGAGCAATCAAGTGGCAACTCGCAAAGTAGCCACCGCCGCGGTCTCCCTAACCCTATTTTTTTATTCCCACCGCCTCATTTTTTCATTTTCCCCATTTCCGCCATTTTCTTCCATCGAATATCTCAGCACCGCTTTCTCGTGGGAACAGAAGATTCGCTCAGTTTTTGCGTCGAGCATCCATGGCCGATTCTAGCGGTCGATTGAACCCTAATGTTCCATCCGAATCGACATCTCCCTCGCTTCCCGATCTTCTCGGCTCTCTCCCCTCCGATTCTGTGGCGAGCTTTGGCGAACGGGCCATCTCCGCCTCCGGAGCTGCCGTCCTTTCTGCTGTAATCGTTAACCCACTTGATGTCGCGAAGGTATCAGAACTCTTTCTTTCTAATGTTAATTTGAGACTTTCATGTTACAGTATTGGATTTAGTCCGGTTGTTCAAAATTTGTTTGGCGCCTTTCAATAAATTTTCGTTTGCTGTTAAGAATGTGGGGGATCACTGGTAACAGAGACAGCTATGATGAAGAAGTAAGTAGATCGGTATTCTGTTTTGTCAGGATTAGTTAACAGTATGGTTGTTTTATATCTTCTTCTCTGGCGTAGTTACAATGCAGGATGTAGAAGGTATGGAATTTGATTCCTGTTTTTTTTTGTTTGTTTGTTAGATTTAATTTTATTCAATTGAAATTCATATGTAAGATGGTTTTAAATTGAGGGGACGAAAGAATTTGTCTAATTTTTTTTGTAGGACAAAAATTAAAAGAAATGAAGAGTAAAAATTTTGAACTATATATGGTTTTTCTTAAATTCAGAAGGGACAAGAGCCACCCCCAACCATCTCTGATTCCACTACCGCCTATAATCCACATGGAGTTTAATTTTCCGCTTATAATCCACATGGAGGCTAACTTTCTGTATATGATAAGTATATTTAGGAGCAGATTTTCGATATCAGCTATGTGTGTTAGATAATATATAATAGGAATTAACATATATTTATCAGTGCTTGAAGTTCGTCTCCACCGCTGTTGAGGATGAGTATAAAAATAAAAAAAGGAATATTATATAATGTTTTATTGTCTTGTTTTTGTACTTGATAAGGTGAAGAACGCATGCTATAGTCATGCTGACTGTTTTGCTGTTGCAGCACAAGTATTAGAAGTAATTTAGATTTTTAAATTTTATTTCAATATTCTAGAGAGTGTTTGGGATAGGTTTTTATTTAAAATTGTTTTGTTCTTTGTATTACACAAATGTGTCTGACTGAATCTCTCAAAGCGACGACCCAGCCTGGATTGCCGACCCAACACGATCAGCCCAGCCTGAACGACCCACCTAGCCTAGACGATCGACCCAACAACCAAGCCTGGATGACCCCGCTTGGACGACCAACTCAACGACCCAACCTGAACAGTCAACCCAACTTAAACCACCCAGCTTGGATGACTGGCTTAAAGGGATGACCCGCCCATCTTGGAAGACCCAGCCAGGACGATCGACTCAAAGGGATGACCTACCCATCCATGAAGACCGACCCAGCCTGGCTAATCGGCCTAGCCTGGATGACCGACCCAGTCCAATCACCGACCCAGCCTGGCTAATCGGCCTAGCCTGGATGAATGACTTAGCCTGGATGACCGACCCAGTTCAATCGACCGAGCTTGCCTTGCTGACCCGAAGTCAATTAAGCTTAGTCAGCCTAGCCAGAAAGCAGTCAGACGACAAGTACAATATCAAAAATGCCTCAGTACAAACCTCTTTAAAGCAGTGATAAAAATGCAATATCATCATTGTGAGTTCTCTCCTCTAAAAATAGGAGAATCATTTTATGAGTAAGACACGATTGATCCCTAATCATAACTATTATTATCTCTCTTTTTGTCTCTCTCTATCTCTATTTTTATCTCTATCTCTCCTTATGTTCCATTCCTTGGGTAGTTGGGTGTGATTCATAGAGTCCTAAAAAATGTGTTGAGAGTGGATCATGTCATCCAATAAGATAAGCATCATAAGGATAATAACAAAGAAGTACGTTTGACCCAACCAGCTCCAGTTTGGTCAGGCAAGGTATCGATCGACTCAACATGGACAACCCAGCTTGGAAGACTGATCTAACCTAGACGACCCAGCTTGGATGACTTAACTTGGTTGACTGACTCAGCCTGGATGACTCAACTTGGATGACTCAACCTGAACGATCTATCCGGCCCAGACGACCTAGCATGGATGACCTAGCTCGTATGAGAATGACTTAGGTGGGACAACCTACCCAGCCTGTATGATTGACCCAACTTGTATAACCCAGCTTGGATGACCCAGCCTAGACGACCCAACATGAACAATCCAACATGGATGACTGACTAAGTTGGAATGACCGACCAATTTCAGTCGATTGAGCTGACCCTGACGACACTCGGCCTCCCACATGCAACCACATTTACTTGACCACATCTGCTCGAACTTCTCCACTCAGCTAGCTGCATGCAGCTAGAAAATTATATAAAAAAAAATCTGCTGATTTTCAAGGGAAATTTATCATAACACTCCTTATTCTTTCAATAAGTTTTTTTTATTAATATGCATATAAAGAGTTTGCCAAAACACTCTCGAAACAAGTGGTTTGCACTTTTTTTAGCCTACTCGACCATCAGACTCATGACACTTCTGTATCATAAAACCCCATGCTCATACCTCAGAACGGGTCAAGCTTTGGCGGTAAGATTTAGCAACAAGATTCGTGGTGGGTAGCGTGCAAATCACCCCAGTAGCGAGTCTGGACGGTTAAACTATCAAAAACTGCAATAAGATATACTTACTATAACTGGCATAAGTTGTGCTCGTCCATGGCGAGCCCCCTAATCAATCAACTAAGACATCAGTGGTGTAAAACTTGGGTTAGGCGATAACATCTCAAACTCAATCTATCGACTTTTTCAACGACATTTATCACTCGGCATTATAACATCTTCCAAAATCACAACTCATTCTCAAAATTTTTTACTTATATTTGGAGAGACGAGCAATGTTAGTTTCATTTATATAATTATCTTATTCTTTTCGCTGTTGTCTTTAAAAAAAAATAAGAGAATTAGAAAAGTAAATATGTATAATAAAAATATGTCGCACTAAATATCTTAGAGTGGCGACGCGGCTTGACCGACCGTTCCAGCCTGGAAGGCCGACCCAGCTTGAATGATCTAGCTTGGGACGACTGACCGAGTCTGAACAAACCAGCTTGGATGGCCCAGCTTAGACAACCGACCTAGCATGGACTACCAACTTGGCCTGGACCATTTACCCAACTTGGACGACTCAACTTGGACGTCCAACTTAGAGGGGCGGTTCAGAGGGAGGACCTAACTAGCATGGATGACTGATCTGGTATTGACGACCGATGCTTGGCCTGGACCATTTACCCAACTTGGACGACTCAACCTGGACGTCCAACTTAGAGGGACGGTTCAGAGGGAGGACCTAACTAAGCATGGATGACTGATCAGGCATTGACGACCGATGCGGTTCAACCGAACAAACCGACCCTTCCTACCTGAAG